CACACACACACACACACACACACACACACACACACACACACACACACACACACACACACACGCACACACGCACACAAAATTGCGCACCATTGCTCATTCACACATTTTCTCAATTCACATAAAGCTTGNACACACACACACACACACACACACACGCACACAAAATTGCGCACCATTGCTCATTCACACATTTTCTCAATTCACATAAAGCTTGTTGTGCCTTCACTTGTTTGAGGCAGAGCGTGGCGAAATTTCATTTGTTCAGCTTTGGCTTTCACCTGTTCGGATATATTGGATTGTTATTGTTGTTGCTAAATTAATTTGAAAGCCTTTCACTCACACTCACTCATACTGTCTCACTTTCCGTTCACTTTTGCGCGGCTATGTATCGGCGTTGACTCGGGTGNGTTGTGCCTTCACTTGTTTGAGGCAGAGCGTGGCGAAATTTCATTTGTTCAGCTTTGGCTTTCACCTGTTCGGATATATTGGATTGTTATTGTTGTTGCTAAATTAATTTGAAAGCCTTTCACTCACACTCACTCATACTGTCTCACTTTCCGTTCACTTTTGCGCGTATATGTATCGGCGTTGACTCGGGTGTAGAAGTTGTTTTTTGAGGAATCTTGTTAAAAAAAAAATAGTTTCAAATGTTATTGTTATTGTTGTTTCTCCACAGCATTTTTGATTAAAAACGGCCTCAAGCTCAATAAAATTGTTTAATTAAATATTTCTTTTAATTTAAAATTGAGACTAATATTTTTCAAATAAAATATTCAGGCATGTTCTAGAAAAGTAACGATTTCCTGGGTAATTTTTAAAATTTGATGTTCGAAAAAACGGAATTCAAAAGTATAGGGTAAAATGTAGGATACCAAAATGTGAAATTGAAGTATTTTTAAACAGCTTTCACTCCAACTTATATGTAATACTCCTATAGTGGCAGTAAGAGCTTGTACCGTCCGAAAACACTACAATACAGATGTATCAATAAACACGTACGAAAGAAAAGGAACACATACGTTTATAAATAAACATGTACACAACACATATACAAAAACGGCAGTCAAGTACGCAATACATTGACAAAAACGGTACTAGACTGTCTCGCTTTGATTTCGGAATGCTTACACATTGAGAAGTTAGCTTACTGCCAATATAGAAGTATTAAATACATATGTAGGGATTTGCCCGTACACTCGAATTTAATGCCAGTTGGCAACATTGTTTTTCATTATTCACTTGTCTTTATTCATTCATTTAATATATTCATTCGATTTCTATACTTTAACAGACGCGTTGCTTTGTAAGAAAGACTTTTGATTTTGTAGTTTATTTGTACGCTAAGTGCGTAAAATATAGTTTTAATTAATAAAACGAAAAGCTATACATACATATATGCACTCCAAAGTAGAATGCAGAACAATGTAATTTTTTTTTTGGTATTTTGATGAAAAATTTATATATATATTTTTTCATTCTTTTTTTCGTTCCACACATTCTTCATTTTCCCATAAGTTTTGATTTAAATTTTCTATATAGTGTTGGACATACATATGTATCATTTTATACAAAATACAAAATGATATTGTTTGCCCCTTATAATTACGGTGACAAGATTACTGTGGACCAAAATCGGGACATTTGTAATACATGGAACATACAATTTTGTTTTTAGAATAAAAAGACATAACATCTTTCAATACAGTTTTATTTAAAACAAAAAAAAAAGAGAAACAAACTGAAAAACTATCGCAAAAATGTATACACGTAATATATACGGTGGCGAGTTTTGGCTACTTTTCTCTTTTTTTAAAACTTTTTTATTTTTTTTATGAAGGTACTATCCAAAAAAAAAACATGCAAATCAAAATTTCAAAACTTTGACCTTTAACGAATGTTGATAAAAATTTTATAGAAATTTTTAAGAAGAGTATGCCCATCCAATTCAAAGTGCAAGTTTGAAGTAGCTTGGACTTACCGTTGATTTTTGGCAATTTTTTTGTTCACGTGTTTTCTTCTATACAAAGTAAGTTCGACAATTTTTTTGTATGGAGAACAAAAAAAAAATAAAAATTTACCAAAAATCAAAGGGAATATTTCTAAAAAATCTAATTAAAAAGCTCAACATTTTGATGAAACTTTGTAGAACTTCGCTAATTTTTGTACAACGTTTGAAATTTTAAATTGCGTGGTCTTTTTTAAATAACGAGCTACTTTTTCATAAAAAATAATAAACATTAAATAAACGAAAGGGTAATAGCAAAGAATGCTTAAATGTCTATATTTATATTTTTGCCACTGTATCTATAGGGATATTTTTTATATCCTTGCATTTTTTAAGGGAATTAGTATTATTTTTTATAATTTTATGAAAATAAAACAAAATTTAACAAATAATTATAAAAACCTTAAAAAAAACTCAGCCAAGAGCGATAGACTGCAATATAGGGCGAGTACCAGTTTGACAGAATAAAATATAACCAAAGATCATAGAAAGTAAGAATGCTGGCTATGTTTATGGCCAGCTTATAATCAATGTTCTTTATGATAACGAATGTGCTGCCACGTTTGCAAGAAAAATTGTATTTTGGTCAGAGTACAGGGCGACTTTTTTTTTTAATTAATAAAGAAAATACTGAAAATCGGGACATAAGCGGTACAAATATGAAAAATCGGGACACTTGTGCGTCCCGACTTTTAAAAAATATTCAGCGGAACAATTTTCTCAAAATCGGTACTGTCCCACTAAAATCGGTACGAATGGTCACCGTACTTATAATTATTTACTGATTTTAAAGATTTTTCAATTAAAATACAGTTCATTCCCTAATAAACCCAAGTTTAAGGCTGCAGAAGACTGAAAAAAAATGCATAAAATTCTCATCTAAATTTCAAACTTTTTATACAAGTTTATAGTATAAAATTAATAAATAAACATTACTGGCAAACAATATCATTTTGAATTTGTTCCAAAATAATATGTCCAACATTTTATATGTATGTACATATACATATCATCGTTTAATAAGCAAAACCGAGTATCGTCGTTCTGCAAAACACCGTAACTGATATTTGCACCAAAAATTAAATTTGCTCACCGGAAGCTCCTGCTCGATATTTACAGATTAAAGGTATAGAGAGAACCGTCTTGAAATAAGAGAGTTTTTACTCTCTCCTTTAAAATTTGAACCTCACATATGAGGTTTTGCATTTGCTTGATACGCGGTTTCATACTTTAAACGACGATATGTATTTTCATCAACATTTTTGAACCTTAGGCTACTTCTTATTTCTTTGAATATTAAGGAATTTCAATATTTTCTCCCAGAAAGTCTTTACCCTCTATGAGTTTGGCCTTCCAGAGTTTCCCCGAACCGCAGCGTTTAAAATAAAAAGAGGGATTTTTTTTTTAATTATTTTCAGTTAGCTTAACTAACGGCGGAGATATTCAACTTTGAAGATGAGTACCTTAAATGAACAACTTTATTTTGGTTCACTGAATATACAAAAATTTTAATTCAAAAAATATAATTTGTTGCGCATTTCTTTGTAAATTTTTTTCATTCCAGAAGCATAAATACATTCTTTGCAGGGCCAACAATCATCCTTTAGTTAAGCAAACGTTCCAAAGGCTGGTTTATAATCGCTTTTTTTTCGAAGATTCACATGCAAATACATTTTGCAAATTTAGAATTTATTCAACGAATTTAACAATATTTGGCCGTTTAGGGACCAAATAATTTTGAAAAAATAAAATCAAACCAACTGATCTACTGTTACCACCTGTTAAATATGCCTTGGTATTCTCTAAAAATCGTACCTAATAAATACAAAATTCGAAATATTTTTTTGTTTTTATATTTATGCCTTATTCATAAAAAATAAAGTAGCTTTAAAAAAGGTTTATAAACTGAAAAATGTATGAAAACGTCACTTTGTAAAGCTCCTTAAACCTACTTTATTTTTTATGAATAAAGCCATTACTTTTTTGGTTTTTATTTTTATTTTTATTTTTTTTTTTGCTTGTTTTATTTTATTTTAATTTATATTTTATTTTATATCTGATATTTTATTTGCATTATTTATACTTAACTTTTTTATTTTATTTTATTTTTTACTTTCTTATTAATTTGTTTTTGTTATTTATGGCCTTATAACAATTATATTCAACAATTTTTATTGAGCTTGAGGCTGTTTTCAATGAAAAACTATCGTGGAAAAGCAACAACAATTTAAAAAAATGGTAGAAGTGATAGCTATTTCGAAAATCACCACATTTCCTGATTTCCGAAATAGCTATCACTTCGCCCATTTTTTCAAATTGTTGTTGCTTTTCCACAATAGTTTTTCATTGAAAACGGCCTCGAGCTCAATAAAAATTATTGAATTTTTCTTATTCATTTTTTATTATCTTATTTGTTTTTTTATTTTGTTACTTATTAATTTTATTATTATTTTTTTATAATTTTTTATTTTTTTATATTTTTTTAGTATTTTTTTATTATTTTTTTATTATTTTTTTATTATTTTTTTATTATTTTTTTATATTTTTTTATTTTTTTTTATTTTTTTATTATCTTGTTTATTATTATTTACTATAAATATTT